AAAATAAATTTCAAAGAAAAAAATTTTTGTAATTGAATAATTACAAGCACAATTTCTTAAAATGACAAGAAAAATTAATGGAATGATATGTGCAAAAATATGAGCCAACGAATTTTTTACCAGTTAACATCAAAAGTTTAGACTTTTACGTGATATATTTGAAAGATATTCCAAAATCAACTAATAATCTTTTTTTTTTTTTTTAAAGTGCTATTTACTCTATTCAATCGATTGTGAAACTTTCAATTATTTCTTGCAACAATAATTTCAACATCAATTTTGTTGATAGAAATAAGTCTGAAGAATAATGATTTTTTAAAATAAAATTCAAAATTTAAGTGTAACCTATTTCAAAGAAAATAAAAAAATACATTGCAGTTAGAGAAGTTAACAGTTTCTCTTGTTCTCTTCCATTTATTTTAAGACATTGAATTTTCAAACAAAAAAAAGAAATCTGTAACCATCAAAATTAAAAATTTTGCCATATGGAGTTATATTTGGAAAATTAAATGATATTGATTTGAGCACTTCAACGATTCACCAGTAGTTGCACAACACAAAGGGATAATAATGATAATTATAACGTAAGAGTTGAACATTGAAGGGATCGTATCTTTGGCAATGAATAAATAGAAGCTGTGGGTGGCAATAAATGAATACTTGACGGAAGGCATCCAAAGTATGGATGCATCATTGCTCCATTTGCTGATATACGATCCGTTGGATTCAACTTAAATACATCTCCAATAATGAAATTTAAAAAATAGCTAAAAGTAAAAAACGAGAATTAAAAATTTTGAAATGTGAATTTTATGCTTTAAAAAAAAGTTGATTCTTAAATCTCAAAATGAGCGTTTTGATAGGTTATACCTGCAGAAAATGTGATAATAGTGATTGGCCATTTTTCAATCTTACCAAAGATTTATGTATCTCACTCCAGGGTAACTCCCGATACGGTGGATAAAAGCTGGGTGAATAATGTGGTAACTTAAGTACTTCGGGCCATTTTTTCGGATCAGGAATACCTGGAAAAAATTTTGTTGTATTTTTGTTAGCAGAATAATCAAATTACTTCGATATATTCTTAAAAGTCAGAATTATTCACCTCTAATACTAAATATTCGATCTAACTGATCGCCGACATCTTTTGTTCCCGGAAAAAGGGCCACACCAGTACACATTTCAGCGAATATACATCCAACACCCCTGAAACATTTACAACTTATATTCATTCTCAATTAATTAACTGATAGTGAGCAGTAGCAAAATAAAATTAAAGTTTCTGTATGTTTTAACAAACTTATAACTTTAGAGAAATTACAAAAGTGAACAATCAGGAAGAGGAAAAAAAAACGAACCACAAATCGAGAGATGTCGAATAGTCCGTTGAACCGAGTAATACATCTGGTGGTCGATACCTAAATAAAAATCTTACTTGCTCATTTTATAGTCTAATATACCTCAGTGATTATTGATTTATTTATTGATAGAGTTTAAGTTCATTTATAAGTAGTACCAACCATAACGTTACTACTTCATGTGAATAGGTTCGACTTGGTACTGATTTTGCACGGGCTAGGCCGAAGTCAGCCAATTTCAACTCACCATTACCATTTAATAACAAATTTTGCGGTTTCAAATCTCTAAAAATGACTGAAATAAGATGAAGCAAAATTAATTCCGAAAAAAAATAAAAATTAAATTTAAAAATTACATGTAAAATTTATCCGGAAATTCCAATTTCTCTAAAAAAGATTTGCACGTCCAATAAAGGGCACGTCAAATGCAACACAAAAAAAAAAAAAAACTTAAATTTTTAGGAAGTAAAATGAACTGTTAACCATACCGATGCAAAATTTTCTTCGCATGGCAAAATGCAAGACCACGAAGTAATTGAAATAAAAATAATCGGACTTGCATCTGTTCTAGTCCAGTACTATGCAATTCCAAATATTTGCTCAAATCTGTTTTCTATAAGTGAAAAATAATTCTTCAGCTCACAGAAGCATAATTGAATTCACTTAATCAAATATTTGAATTTAATTTGTCCAATTAAGTAAGCATATATTTTACATAACGCAATATAAACCAAATATATTATCAGCTTTAATGACTATATAACTTAGTGAAATTCGTTGAAAATTATAATATATATTTTATGT